CTTCAGAATACCATCTATAGCCTGAGTATTGTTAAGTGTACCACCTACACAGCCTTCTTACTGTCTAGTATACTGTCTACCATATATACCAGCTACAGCCTGTGCAGTCTAGTATACCGTCTACAGCCTGTGTAGTCTAGTATACCATCTACAGCCTGTGCAGTCTAGTATATTGTCTTCCATACCATCTACAGCCTGTGTAGTCCAGTATACCATCTACAGCCTGTGTAGTCTAGTATACCATCTACAGCCTGTGCAGTCTAGTATACTGTCTAACATACCTTCTACAGCCTGTGCTGTCTAGTATACCATCTACAGCCTGTGCAGTCTAGTATACCATATACAGCCTGTGTAGTCTAGTATACTGTCTACCATACCATATACAGCCTGTGTAGTCTAGTATACTGTTTACAGCCTGTGTAGTCTAGTATACTGTCTACCATACCATCTACAGCCTGTGTAGTCTAGTATACCGTCTACAGCCTGTGTAGTCTAGTATACTGTCATCGATACCATCTACAGTCTGTGTAGTCTAGTATACTGTCTTCTATATATACCATCTACAGCCTGTGTAGTCTAGTATACTGTCTATCATACCATCTACGGTCAGTGTAGTCTAGTATACTGTCTACCATATATACCTTCTACAGCCTGTGTAGTCTAGTATACTGTTTACAGCATGTGTAGTCTAGTATACTGTCTACAGCCTGTGTAGTCTAGTATACCATCTACAGCCTGTGTAGTCTAGTATACTGTCTACCATATCATCTACAACCTGTGCAGTCTAGTATACTGTCTACCATATCATCTACAGCCTGTGTAGTCTAATATACTATCTACCATACCATCTACAGTCTGTGTAGTCTAGTATACTATCTACCATACCATCTATAGTCTGTGCAGTCTAGTATACTGTCTACCATACAATCTACAGCCTGTGCAGTCTAGTATACTGTCTAACATACCATCTACAGCCTGTGCAGTCTAGTATACTGTCTACAGCCTATGTAGTCTAGTATACCATCTACAGCCTGTGCAGTCTAGTATACTGTCTACAGCCTGTGTAGTCTAGTATACCATCTACAGCCTGTGTAGTCTAGTATACCGTCTACAGCCTGTGTAGTCTAGTATACCATCTACAGCCTGTGCAGTCTAGTATACCATCTACAGCTTGTGTAGTCTAGTATACTGTCTACCATACCACCTACAGTCTGTGTAGTCTATAGCTATAGAGTTTACCATCTACTGTCTGTGTAGTCTAGTATACTGTCTACCATACCACCTACAGTCTGTGTAGTCTATAGCTATAGAGTTTACCATCTACAGTCTGTGTAGTCTAGTATACCGTCTACAGCCTGTGTAGTCTAGTATACTAGACTACACAGACTGTAGATGGTTACTAGACTACACAGACAGTATACTGTCTACCATATATACCATCTACAGCTTGTGTAGTCTAGTATACTGTCTTAACATACCACCTACAGCCTGTGTATTCTAGTATACTGTCTAACAAAATGCTACAGCCTGTGTAGGCTAGTATACTGTCTAACAAAATGCTACAGCCTGTGTAGGCTATAGCTAGTATACCATCTAAAGCCTGTGTAGTCTAGTTTACCATCTACAGCCTATGTACTCTATAGCTAGTATACTATCTACAGCCTGTGTAGTTTAGTATACTGTCTACCATACCACCTACAGACTGTGTAGTCTAGTATTCCATCTACAGCCTGTGTAGTCTATAGCTAGTATACCATCTACAGCATGTGTAGTCTAGTATACCATCTACAACCTATGTAATCTATAGCTAGTATACCATCTACAGTCTGTGTAGTCTAGTATACCATCTACAGCCTGTGTAGTCTAGTTTACCATCTACAGCCTGTGTAGTCTATAGCTAGTATACCATCCATAGCATGTGTAGTCTAGTATACCATCTACAGCCTATGTAGTCTATAGCTAGTATACCATCTACAGCCTGTGTAGTCTAGTATACCATCTACAGCATGTGTAGTCTAGTATACCACCAACAGCCTGTGTAGTCTAGTATACCACCTACAGTCTGTGTAGTCTAGTATACCATCTACAGCATGTGTAGTCTAGCATACCATCTACAGCCTGTGTAGTATATAGCTAGTATACCACCTACAGTCTGTGTAGTCTAGTATACCACCAACAGCCTGTGTAGTCTAGTATACCATCTACAGCCTGTGTAGTCTATAGCAAGCATACAATCTACAGCCTGTGTAGTCTATAGCTAGTATACCATCTACAGCCTGTGTAGTCTAGTATACTGTCTACCATACCACCTACAGCCTGTGTAGTCTAGTTTACCATCTACAGCCTGTGTAGTCTATAGCTAGTATACCATCTACAGCCTGTGTAGTCTAGTATACCACCAACAGCCTGTGTAGTCTAGTATACCATCTACAGCATGTGTAGTCTAGTATACTGTCTACAGCCTGTGTGGTCTAATATACTGTCTTAACATACCACCTACAGCCTGTGAAGTCTAGTATACTATCTAACATACCATCTACAGGATGTGTAGTCTATTATACTGTCTACAGCCTGTGTAGTCTAGTATACCATCTACAGCCTGTGTAGTCAAGTATACTGTCTACCATACCACCTACAGCCTGTGTAGTCTAGTATACTATCTAACATACCATCTACAGGATGTGTAGTCTATTATACTGTCTACAGCCTGTGTAGTCTAGTATACCACCAACAGCCTGTGTAGTCTAGTATACCATCTACAGCCTGTGTAGTCTGTATACTGTCTACCATACCATCTACTTCCTGTGTAGTCTAGTATACTGTCTACCATACCATCTACAGCCTGTGTAGTCTTTAGCTAGTATACCATCTACAGCCTGTGTAGTCTATAGCAAGCATACAATCTACAGCCTGTGTAGTCTATAGCTAGTATACCATCTCCAGCCTGTGTAGTCTAGTATACTGTCTTAACATACCACCTACAGCCTGTGAAGTCTAGTATACTATCTAACATACCATCTACAGCATGTGTAGTCTATTATACTGTCTACCGCCTGTGTAGTCTAGTATACTGTCTAACATACCATCTACAGTCTGTGCAGTCTAGTATACTTTCTTAACATACCATCTACAGCCTGTGTAGTCTAGTATACCACCAACAGCCTGTGTAGTCTAGTATACCATCTACAGCCTGTGTAGTCTATAGCTAGTATACCATCTACAGCCTGTGTAGTCTATAACTAGCATACCATCTACAGCCTGTGTAGTCTAGTATACCACCAACAGCCTGTGTAGTCTAGTATACCACCAACAGCCTGTGTAGTCTAGTATACCATCTACAGCCTGTGTAGTCTGTATACTGTCTACCATACCATCTACTTCCTGTGTAGTCTAGTATACTGTCTACCATCCCACCTACAGCCTGTGTAGTCTAGTTTCCCATCTACAGCCTGTGTAGTCTATAGCTAGTATACCACCTACAGCCTGTGTAGTCTAGTATACTATCTAACATACCATCTACAGCATGTGTAGTCTATTATACTGTCTACAGCCTGTGTAGTCTAGTATACTGTCTAACATACCACCTACAGCATGTGTAGTCTAGTATACTGTCTACAGCCTGTGTAGTCTAGTATACCATCTACAGCCTGTGTAGTCTAGTATACTGTCTACCATACCATCTACTTCCTGTGTAGTCTAGTATACTGTCTAACATACCATCTACAGTCTGTGCAGTCTAGTATACTGTCAAACATACCATCTACAGCCTGTGTAGTCTAGTATACTGTCTTAACATACCACCTACAGCCTGTGTAGTCTAGTATACTGTCTTAACATACCATCTACAGTCTGTGCAGTCTAGTATACTGTCAAACATACCATCTACAGCCTGTGTAGTCTAGTATACTGTCTAACATACCACCTACAGCCTGTGTAGTCTAGTATACTGTCTTAAGATACCACCTACAGCATGTGTAGTCTAGTATACTGTCTACAGCCTGTGTAGTCTAGTATACCATCTACAGCCTGTGTAGTCTAGTATACTGTCTACAGCCTGTGTAGTCTAGTATACCATCTACAGCCTGTGTAGTCTAGTATACTGTCTACCATACCACCTACAGCCTGTGTAGTCTAGTATACTGTCTTAACATACCATCTACAGCCTGTGTAGTCTAGTATACTGTCTAACATACCTGTGACCTACAGCCTGTGTAGTCTAGTATACTGTCTTAACATACCATCTACAGTCTGTGTGGTCTAGTATACTGTCTTAACATACCATCTACAGTCTGTGCAGTCTAGTATACTGTCTTAACATACCATCTACAGCCTGTGTAGTCTAGTATACTGTCTTAACATACCACCTACAGCTTGTGGTAACAGTCTTAAACACTAAGTCTTGACTTGACAATTCTATGTGTATTCATTGTTTAGATTAAACTATTTTTATCTAGTTCTAAAAAGCAATACACCAGCAAAATTTTAGGTCCTGAATGAGACAATTAAGTTATATGCACAGTTCTAATAAAGTGACAGTGAACGTGATTAAAAGGCAGCATATGTAATAACAACGTGTGTCAAGGATTACATTTTGAAAGAAGGTATTTTCAATATTTAAGCATGTAATGTACTTAACAACTTCCCTTAACCATTGTGGTTCTATACTCTCCTCCTCTTCCAAAGTGGTCAGATGTAACGTTTGACCCATTGAACTTGACCAAAGATCACCAAAATATAATGAGGTGTACAACTTAAAGTTACCATAAGTTATGGTGTAATTAATTATAACTTGACCATTGGCAATCAATATAATCTGTTAAAGAGTATAAACTTGACCAATGGTTAGAAGTCTATGTTAACATTCTATTGTGCAAATATAAACTAATTCTGTTGATGAGTTCATTTAAGACATCTTGTATACATTTTTTTACTATTAAGACTTTGTTTTACTGGTACCATACATTAATTGCTAATATTAATTATTTAATAATGTAACTTACTTGGGTGGACACACACACTTAACGGCAGTATTGTCAATCACACATGTGCCTCCATTAATACAACTGTTTGATTGACAGGTGGTCTGTCCTTCTGCTGCATCTGTAACATACAAATATTATACAACATTACCTATGGTCTGCTTTTCCTTGATTAATAATTGCCTAATCATTGGTCTCAGGTTCACCGATAACTACCCCATGCTTCTATTTTTGTCTTGCACATGACCATATCGACCTCATGTTTCTAAATTTAGATCCGAAGAAAATTCTCACTATTTGGGGACACGATATGTAATACAAAAATTAAGAACTTTTATCCTAGTTAATATGCTGTTATATATTGTTGTTGCAATGTTTACATATCAACCTCGACAAAAGCCCATAATTGATCATTTACACATTATCTCACATAAGTTTCTTCAATTATATCACTGTCGTTTTACAATGTCAGATCAAGAAAAGGTTTTCTGGGCTTCATAATTTCTCCCCCTCCGTCCATACCCAGAATTATCTTTAAAATCATGAATTTTCCTCATTGTCCCAAGTGGAAAAGATATCTCTATTGAATAATAAAAAAAATACTGTGCAAATAAATTGTCCAGACAGGGGACAACATGTCAAACTGCATCACAAATCGTCCTTGCACCAATGAACAATAGAAGGAAGTGAATCACAGTCCAAAACAATTTCCCCCTAAAAACTGAATTAAACACTGATTATAATAAGCTCTACAGCTCCACATTTACATTGCCACCAGATCAAAGGACAAACATGCAGTCCAGTATGTGTTTACTAGATGAACGATCATATGATGGGCTACATTAGACAGACCAGCCTTGTTGTTGAAAACCTTACAAGCTTTCATGAGTAATTATATAATGATTATAAAATAAATATGTAACTGCATGTAGCTGCATATGTAGCGATTCAGAGACGTATATAACACATACGTCTCTGAGCGATTCAAAGTCAATATCTGAGGGCAACATTATTTACATATTTGAAATACATTTTAAATAATACAGAAATAATTTCAGATATTTTCTCAGTCATAAATTTTGTTGAATAACAATGACGAAGATTTGTGTTATATTATCTTTTTCCAGTGGCTGAGTGGTTAAAGACTGTCTAGATCGCTAGCCCTCAATGGCTGGGTCATAGTTTTGAAGCCTACGTGGGGCAGTTACGAGGTTTTGGCTGCAGGTTGGTGTTTTTTTTCTCTGGGTACTCTGATTTTCCGCCACCACCAAAACCTGGCACATTCTTAAAAATATAGCTACATCTTTTAAGATGACATAAAGCACAAACAAAAACACAGAAAACCATGTTTTCTGTTAATATCACGTTTCAAACTATATCACATTTACCTCTGATAAATAATATAAACGCTATTATGAGGAATACACATTTCAGTAATTAAATATTTCATTTCAAGGAAACCTCTGTTGAAATTAAAATACAAGTACTTGTTCTGATATAAGAATGTTGCAACTATTTCTGACATCAGAACCTCAGCAGGTTTCTATAGGTATCTACTGTCCATAATAGCATACAACCAAACACAACTTAATTTCTTCCAAAACAATCTATGGATTTTGCTTTGGTGAAATTTTTGAGCACAAGTCTATGAACTGAAGCACTATGCTGACACGTTAACATGCCTCAGAGACTGACATGAAGAAGCCAGGCTAACATTGTTCCACTCTACGCTTCATCAATTAATTGAGGACTCTAGCTGAAACACCCATACATATCCTTGACACTAGCTGCGGCTCAGCTGTAATATAATCACCAGATCTTTTGTCTGGCTGCACCAGTATCAATAACACATACCAATTATGTATTAACAGCACTAGGAACATTAGTTTAATAGTAATTAAATTAGAAATCTGCTAAATTAAACTTCAGTCCAAAAGCAATTAAAACTGCAACGTTACACTTCTGTGCACAAATAGTAAAAACAAAATGTGTTTTTTTTACATAATTAAGTCATCAATATGTTAATTCTGTTGAAATTTAATTTGGTTTGAAACTTCAGGGGGGAATTCAAATAATCACAAAGTTGTATGTGTAATTGATACATTTCCATAAATAAACATGCATGCAATGTTTAGGCCAAACAAAAGAAAACAAGTTTGTTTCCTGTGATATGTGTGAAACAAATAGGGTGTGTTACAGTGTCAGGTAAAGATTTTTTTTTTCATTTTTTTATAAGGTTTAGGAAAGTAATCTTGACTTCAAAAGTGCCTCCTTGAAAATTGCCAATTGTATATTAGACATGCTAACACTGCAATGAATTGTGGCAGTAATGAGAAAGCCTTTTTCTATAGTGACTGTCCCCGTCACCACGGTAACTCTGCCACCACCCTCATCTCACCAGCCCCAAGCCTCATGCAGTGTTAAACGGTAGTTATGTCTTCAGTGCATACAAGACTAGTGTTTCAATCAAACAGTGTGAAGAGTGAAAAGGATACGTCTGTCACAGCCGCCAGATGCTTCGGGGACCATTTTCTTCATCTGAGTCATGGGGGTGTTCGAATGGTTTATGGGTGAAAAGTGATTAAAAAGACGAAGAAAAATAGTTTTGGGATGACCAATGCCTCAAAAATGTGCTTTCTTTTTTTTATCCATATTTCAATGATGGTACTGAAATGTTGTGACAATTTCATGTATAAACATAAAAACAAATCATGTAAACATAAAAACAAGGTGAAAACATAACGAATCGCTCTCAAGGCACATTTTCTGGATACTGTTGGTAATTAATTCACTGTGCTTGATGTCCTCAGGAGATAGTCAGCTTTTCAAATTACTAAACACAAGAAAATATAAAGAAAGATACTCTGGTAGAAAATTTCATATAAACTCTGTTATTTCATTTGTGTCTATCAGTTGTGAAAACTTCCCTCAGCACATATCTTTCCTTGAATAGAGAATATATCTTCAATTTGTTTAACTCCACTAATTTGTATTTATAGATATGTAATTAACTAGATCAGTAATGATTTTTTGTCCATTCACTGTACATGTGCAAGCTAAATATCTTCCAACTTTCTTTCCATTGTCTTTGCAAATTCATCATTGCAATGACAACTTGAACCTAAGATTTACAAACTTAATGTTTCAAATATATAACAGGCCTGAAAAATGCTTGTCCGAGGCTTAAACCTTCTAAGATCAAACTAGTCCATTTCCATTATATTCCTCCCTCCTTAAATACCTGGTACAGAACCTTTTGAGAGTACCTGTATTGAGCTGGACACCATTTGGCAGTTATTTTTAGTACTTGACGATAACTTCATATAAAACTATCCTGCCACCCCTCCCAGGGGCCAAACAGGGAAGCCCAAACTAGTGACCCATGATGAACATATTTTCCCCCCTCATGGTTTTATCAAGGATACCTGTACATGACATAAATGAATCTAGGAAAGAAGAAGAATTTGTTTAAAGTCTGTGGAAATTTTGGCCCCACTGATGCACTTCCTGAAAGTGCAGGATTCCAATTTTCACAACTCTATCCATCACTTAACTATAGTCTCTGCCTCTGCCAATTATAGACGAAATCCATTCAATTTTTTTGGGAGGAAGTTGAAAACATCAAAATGTTAATGAATGTTACATTTTTTGTTGAAGGTGGCATGAATGGCAATAGGTCACTAGTCTTTGCATCAAGTGACCAAAAACCTAACGGCCAGACTTTAATTATAGAAACCCACACCATCAACAAGAGACTCAATGGGCCTGCATCGCCCACCTGGTATTAATCTCAAACTTGTAATCTTAAAAGTGGACTAAAATACAGCTACAGGCAGAATATCGGTGTTTGATTCATAAGAACCTATTAAAACTTTTAAACATATGACGCCTGTGACCTTAAATTTCGAACAAGGACATTAGGTTGAAAGTGGGTCAAGGTCATTCATTTGACGAACTTAATAGCCCTTCATCCCAGCATGCTACAGGCCCAATATCAGTACCCTGGGCCTTTCAGTTATTGAGGAGAAGTCGTTTGAAAATTTTAAGACATTTGACCCCTGTGACCTTGAAAATGTGTCAAAGTCATTCATTTGAACAACTTGGTAGCCCTTCATCCCAGCATGCAACAGGCCCAATGTCAGTACCCTGGGCCTTTTGGTTATTGAGAAGAAGTTGTTTAAAGTAAAATATTGATGCCGGACGCAGCAGCACGGCATAAGCTCACTTGGCCCTTTGGGGCAGGTGAGCTAAAAATCAAGATTGAGGATCTAACTGATCAACCTGCATTTGTTTGTTTGGTTATAGGGTTTTGCTTCTTTGAAACAGCTTAAAGTTCATGTGAAGACAGGCACCTAGGGTGACACCAGCAGCTAGGAAGAGCAGGGACGAAAAAAGGAGGGAAAAAAACCCACCACCGACAAGGTCAATTGTTTCAGTCCAGAGTTCCATCACATAAACATGAAATTCTCACTATACTGTATACCTGGAAATATTCACTGCAGTTCATTTTCCACCTTTCCCTCTTCAGGAATGAGGGCAAATTTATCATTGTAGCGAACTTTAGTCAACAACAAAATTTACGAAGAAATTAAATGAGAAAGGCGAAATTAACACTGAGTGAATTTTGATTTCACAGGCGAAGGACAAAAGTATACAATATATATATGTATCTAAGTGACAATAGTTTCAGTTCTTATGAATTAGTGAACATGGGACAGTGTGTCTTTTACCCAATACCCAGGAGTTATACTTAGAATTCAAGTCCAATTAGGCAAATGATAAGTCCAAATATATTATCATTCCCACTTAAAATTCATGTCCTGGAATCAATTGGAATTAAGTCTGGAAAATATTTTGAAATAAAACAAATTGAACAAATCTGTAATCTACAGAGAGCAGTATGTCTAGCACTGTCTTATCCACATACGTCCCCAGTGTGATCTGTGACGCATCCCCACAGCGTATCAGACTTTACCAAATTTAGATTCCTTGATGTCCTAACAGCTACTTATTTCCATTCCCTATCAATAAATCCACATCTGATACGGCAAATTGAGACTGACTTCATGACATTTCCTTAGTTCTCTCCTAATTATCCATCCTGCAAAGTGCCGCGCTCAG